CTGCAGGAGGCGTGCGAGGCCTACCTGGTGGGGCTCTTCGAGGACACCAACCTGTGCGCCATCCACGCCAAGCGCGTCACCATCATGCCCAAGGACATCCAGCTGGCGCGCCGCATCCGCGGGGAGAGGGCGTAAGTGGCCCTTGCGAAGCTTGCCCGAGCGCGTTTGCTTTCTCCCTCCCAAAGGCTCTTTTCAGAGCCACTGCCGTTTTCACGGAGAGTGGCTGTGTTACTACTGGTTGGGACAGTCCGAGTTTCGTGGGAGAGGCAAGGACGATGGGGGAAGGGATGCCGTGATCTTTAGCAACTGCAGCATCTCCCTCTTCTGCGAGTTGGTGTAGGTTGGGAAGGCCTCGCCTGTACTCGCTCCTCAAGGAAGCCGTTCCAGAAGAGGCAGCTAATGTTTAAAGGCCGCAGTGTCTACAGAGTCATCCCTTGGTCCCTTGAGTAATCCAGATGTCAAGAAAGCCACCACTCGGAGGGAAGGAACTTGACCACCAAGTAGAGTAAGCTTCAGAGCATAAGTAATTGGTACCTCCTGGCCCCACACCTGAGCTGAATCTGGGAGCAGAGTGGTGTAACTGCTCCCCAAGTGCATGGAAGAGCACCTTGCACGTTTTAGTTCCGTAGAGTTGGCTCCTTGGATCTGTCCCAGTTCTCAGGAGGTGGTGAGTGCAGTGCGTCCAGGTTAAAGTCAGGCAGTGCTGGGGTTTTGCCTAGGATCTAGCAGGATTTTCTTACTGACACTCAGTGTGTCCTCCACAACTCCAAGAAGGGACAAAATGCTGGGATTTGGCTGCAGCCGTAGCTCTGTTTACCAAGAAAATGAGCTAGTATTCAGACTATTTTTCTCTTGAGAATTGAATTTCTCCGTGCTTAGCACTAACATCTGGTAACTACGGGATACAGCTCTGAAATGTTTATTCTTTTTCACACCCATTCTAAGATACTGTAACATCAGCAAAGTGGCCCCCTGGTTCTTTGCCAGCTTCCAGGAGCCTGGTAATGGAGAGTGTGCATGCGGAGCCAACTACAGGCAGCCCGACCTCAGTATCTGGTTGCTGAGGCCTGGACACCCATCACCTGACATAATGGTGACTTCCCTGGGGGACAAACCCCAGTGAGACCATTTGGGGTAATGCCCCTACTGCACTTGACCATTATCCCTTACAGGACACTTCAGACGTGTTCCCCAAAATTTCATGTGAATCTAAGTTCTAAAAGTCGAGTTTTGCCCCATTTTCTCTCCCCATAGAACATGCATGTCCTAAGGTCAAGATTTTTCTCATTCTGTTTACTGTCATATCCCTAGAACAGTAAAAGCCTGATACACAGCAGGTGCTCATTAAATTCTAGTTGAATGAATGTATGGTTAATTTGCTGTCTTTTAGACACAAGATAGCTCCCACTCGGCCATAGGTAGTCCCTGAGTGCTTTACACCTTCCATCCTAGATGCTTTTTGTCACCACTGTTTCGATTCCCATGGTGAGCAGATAAAACACTGACAACAATTATATAAAGCTTTACAGTTTCCGAAGTCTATTTACATATCTCTTTGTATATGGAATTGACAACAGCTGGGGTTTAGACAGGGCCTATCCATACACTCTCACTAGCTCTAGAAGAGTTTATCTTTTCCAAAAGTATCCAAGTATTAGGGGATAAAGCTGGTTGATCTGTTTAGAATTCTTTCTTTTAGATTTTTTTTTTTTTTTTTTTTTTTGAGAGAGAGAATGAGAGAGCACATGAGAGGGGGGAGGGTCAGAGGGAGAAGCAGGCTCCCCGCCGAGCAGGGAGCCCGATGCAGGACTCGATCCCGGGACTCCAGGATCATGACCTGAGCCGAAGGCAGTCGCTTAACCAACTGAGCCACCCAGGCGCCCTAGAATTCTTTCTTTAAGCCCTAGGATGGAAGAAGATCTGATGAGCCTCCAATGGCTGCAGGAAAATAAAGGAGAATTAGTTTAAAACAAAACAAAACAAAACAAAAAACTAGGGGCAGGAAAGCCTATTTTCCTTGAAGTGAAGAGGCCAGGGCAGAAGCTAGGTTCTTATGTTTTCTAGCTCCTCAGAAAGGACATCTGCTGGGATTGGGGAGTCTATGGGTCAGTAAGGATATATTCTATTTGAAGGCAAAGTTTGGACATAGAAAAGGTGGTTTTAGGACATGTTCAAAAATTCTTTGATACGCTGACCTTCAAAAAAATGGAGCCTAATTCCTTTCCCCTCGAGTTAGGGCTGGATTTAGGTACTGGCTTCTAGTGAATCGGACAAAGCCAGTGGCCTGAAGTCAAAGTGACAGAGACCTACTTTGGAGGCTAGCTCACAGGAGATAGTATTTCCTGCTTGTTCTCTCTCTCAGGCCACTTGGTCTGGGGAACCCTGGCTGCCATGTTGCGCGGACACTCAGGCAGCCCTGTGGAGAGGCCCACTCGATACTAAACCGATGCCTTCTCCAACAGTCCGTGAAGAACTACCAGTAGCCATGGGAGTGAACCATCTCCAGCCCCAGTCAAGCCTCAGGTGACCATAGCCCCTGTGGACAGCTTGACTCTTCCTGAGAGACCCTGAACCAGACCACCCAGCTAAACCACTGTCTGTTTCCTGACCTTCTGAAGCTGTGGGAAATAATAAATTTGTTGTTTTAAGCTGCCAAGTTTTTTTTGGGGGGGGGGGTAATTCATTATATAACAATAAATAACTGAGCAAAAAAAAAAAGAGGAATAGTTAAGAGTCACCCGATGGACTCCACTAGTCTCGATGAGATGACCACATCCCACAGCTCTGCCCTTCACCATCGGGACAGCTGGACTCACAGGAACTTGCCTTAGTTCCTGTGGCGTTAGCAGCAGGGTTTTCTCATGCCCCTCTCCAGAGAGGCCGGAGACCAGCTTTGCGCTGCTGGCTTAGAGAGGACGATGCCTTTGGTTACGCATAAGGCTGCTTTGAAGGTGTGCAACTGGTGGGTCACCTCTAGCTACAGACTTTGAAGGCCTGGGGTGTAGTGTTGGTGCAGGCGGGGCTAGACAACAGCCGAATCCTCTCTCTCTCACTAGTGATCTCTCTCTTTCCCTCTTTTTTGGAAAACTACCTGTCTGAGGTACCATTTCTAATGGTCAGACATACTAGTTAAGGAAACCATTATAAGTTTTTGTTCTGTGACTCGCCTTTTTCCAGATCCCGCACCAGTATAGACTAGCAGTCACGTAGATTATAAGTTATTTTAGATGCCATTTTCCTTAATAATGAAATGGATACTTTATTTCCTCAAAAGATTGCATTAAAGATTAAATGTGGCAATATATGAAACTGTAGGAGAATACCCCAGAGAATGTATTAAGTGCACAATAAATACTCAGTAAACCTAATTTCATCTCAGAGTCCTAGTTTGGTATGTCTCTTGTAACATTGAGGAAATACGCCCCAAATCCTCTGATAAGATTAGATTGAGGAGCCAGTCATTCTTGTCATTGGTTGAGATTTGGGAGATGATCCAATTTGATCAGTCACACATTAGCAAGTCATGTCATTTCTGCTAGTGGCCAGTCTTATTTCTTGGAAGATTTCTCTTAGTTTCTGTCTCACAAGGTGAAGTTTTCAAAACGTGTCTTCCAGTTCTGGAAAGTACTTGGAGCACAAGAACTATTTCTGTTTAGGGGCAGGGAAGAAGTTGAAAAATTAGATGAGAACAA